GTTAGGCGAAACAAGGATACGTTAAAAACGTATTAAACACAGAGAGAAACATACTACAGTGTACACTGTATTCTTCACGAGAAACATACTATAGTGTACGTCTCCCTTACAATGTACAATGTGTTAACACTAGAATTATCGACGGATACGATATAAAGAATTCGAAATACAATGGAAAACACTTCTATCTGCGTATTTTACCAAGAAATCATTCAATTTTTGCAAGGACACGCCATTGCGAATATATAGGGTGGCCACTGAAAAACTGAACGGTTTGAAAAAGTCATAACTTGCTCGTTTTTTCAATCTTTTTTTGTAGGTTATAGAATTATAAAATTATAAAATTATAATTTTGTTACATTTTTATTATATCATTATATTATTAATTTCCAAATAAAATAATGAAAAATATTTATATATTACTATTTTATTATATTTTATTACATTATTATATTCCCAAATAAAATAAAAAAATTGAAAAAACACGTGCGTTTGTAAAAGTTACTGTTGTTTAATATCATTCAGTGTTCGGGTGGCGCCACCCTGTAGAAAGTCTCTGTGGAAAGTTACAAATTGGTAATTCTAACCACTTTGGTAGCTTCCTAGCGTTAATTATCGGATCGACGATATATCCGACGTACGGTTTTCGACGTCGGTTTTTCGACAAAGCGCGATTTCCTGTTCTAACAGCCCGTTAACCCAGCCGCGCGGTTACCTCGTGGATCGCCGAGGATTTCCTCGGTGCATCGACCTGAGGTAAATCCTCGCGCGCCCCGGTATCGTCTCTCGCTATCGCGTCTCCTTCTCCTTGCGAGCACGTTCGCAACCGAATATACCCCTCTCGGTGTGTACCCTCTTGCATTCTGCAAACAAGCACATTGTATCACGGCGAGTAAACGCGCAAGTTTGTTTGGAAGTTGGTAACGACGCGACGAACCCTCCCCACCCCATTCCTCTCCGCCCCTCCCCTCCCCACGATTCTTCGCCACTGCTTTGAGGTGGAGGGGGAAGTTGCGCCCCCCTCCCGAATTTATAGTGTCGTCCCGGCAAATGGCGTCGGCAGAACGAGCGTAAACTACCGTTAAACTTGACCCACTCCTGAAATATATCGTTCTTTGATAACGCAGCCCGAAGTCGCGTGTTGTTTGCGTCGGCGTGTCAACGAAGAGAGCCCCCGACGAAGAGGAGAGTCCGTCTGACGAAATTACGACGGTGAGCTCGTAGAAAGAAAAAGGAGAAGAGAGGTGGGAGTGCACTCGTGCCACATTCCTCGCGATGATGGTTGTTTTCTCTCTGCTCAGTCGGCAACTACGGTGGTTCATAAATTCCGTCGGACGATTCCTGGACAGGGGCGCAGGGGTTGCTCTGGCTTCTGTAAAGTCGCCGAGGAACGTTCTTTTTTTTGTTTCTTTCTTTCTCGCAGCTCTCCTCGTCGTCGTTCATCTGTTTCGCGGACGTCGCTCGGTGATTAATCGCGTTTAATTCCTCGCGTGATCCAATTTTTTTTTTCTCTTCTTCTTCCTTTTGCATTTCACGTTTTATTTCGCTTTTCCTCTCGGCGACAAATTTTCCCTCCGCGATGAAATACCTCGGATCTATTCTCTCTCTCTTTTCTTTTTCCTTTGAATTTCAACGGAGCAGCATCCTTACCTACAAAGCTACCTTTAAACGTGCTTTTCGAAGGTAATTGAAAATCCTCCGCGTAACGTTGCCTCCCCCTACCCTGGGGAGCTTCAAATCGCACGAACGGCAAAGAAAAGAGAAGATAGATCGCAGAAGAAATCGAGTCCTGCGTGACGACGATCATTCCTCTCTTCAGCTGTGAAGCAAGGTTTCGGATGGTATGGATCAAATAAATAAAATCATCGGAGCCCCGTGGAACGAAGAGAAGTGGTTGTTATTTTTAGTGATAGATATGCGTGGCGCGAGGACGTATCAGGGGCGCGTGCTTCGTTTCCGAGCCGAGTGCGCAGTCGGCGGTGTGTGGCAGATGGATGGCGGGGCGAGAGGGGGGAGGGGGAACCACTTGAAGAGAAAACGATCGAAAAACATGGGGGAGGATTTCGAAATCGAGGATTTCGCAGCGTAGGTCGGTCGTGAAAGATCGAACGAGTTAACGAGACTCGGTTCGTGATCAGAGACAAGGTTAACAAAAATATTAATGTAAATAAACAGATGGAAATATCCGTTAATAACTTGTCAAAATATAAGTCGTTCTAATGACTTGTATTACGCGTGAGTTCAATAATAATTAATGATATGTAAGTCGTTATAATTTATAAATATAATTTATATATAATTATATTTATAAATATATAAGTAAATATATATATATTATATATATAATTTATATTTATAAATATATAAATAAATATATATATATATTATATATATAATTTATATATAATTAAATATAATTTATAAAATGACAATTAAGATTTGTACAATCCTGCCTCTGTCGAGACAGAAATTTAATCTTAATTATCGACATCGAATATCCTTTCAAGGGAGAAAAAAATTCTTCTCTCACATTTACGAAATGTGTGCCGCAAAGAATATTATTTTCTTTCAATAAATGATCCCGAAGAATCGTTCAATTTTAAACGGACGAACGATCGGGACGATTCTCACAATTCACAGTCCTCACGACAGACGTTAGATCGAAGAGAATCGCAGAGCTGGGGGAGCTAGTTGTCGTTTCGCAAAGCGGATTGGCGAGTTTTACAACACCGAGCTCTGGCCGTGCTGCTTGGCTACCGGTGACCGATCGCACGAATCGCGAAACTTCTCGAACGGAGAGTGCCAAGAGACGCTCGTTAAGGAACACGAAACGCCCGATAAAAAAAATTTCAATTTATACGCAAAAAAGTGCTGGGAACTTAGATGAAGAAAGTTCATAACTGGCCATTAACTCGTTTGGCCTGACTGCAGCAGGAGCGGCTCTGTTTTCCTGCCCTCTCTTTCTAGTTTGCGCGCGGAGTTTCTCTCTCTCTCTCTTTCGTCTCGAGCCCTTCGCTTTTGTTGCCGTCCTTGCTATTATGATGCACGTCCTCCGAACCAAGTACCAACCTCCAAACACTCTTTGAAAAATAGGCTTGGATTTGTTACTCTGTACTTAACGCATTTAACACGTTTAACGACTTCACGTGACTTAATTGTTGGCCCGAATCTATTATTATGCGATTGATATTATACTGAAGTATTACTTGCAACAGATAAGTTGAAGTATATATAATCATGTTTATTCGATTTATTTTACTGTGGTGAGGGGGTGTCATAGGCGACGCTGTGTGTCTCTTCGATTTTCATTTACTTTTTTTTTTTTTTTTTTTAGCAAAATTCATGTACAAAAAACATTCTTCATCTACGCCATGAAATGCACGAAATGGCAGGGAAAGCCAGTGCCGCTGAAGAGGTGTAGTAATGTTGCTAGAGAATTCTCTATGAAAGAATTCAAAACAAGTAGATGGAACGAAAGAAAAGGTATCATCACGTGTTGATTCACTTTCTCTTTGTTTGCAATGCTTCAATAGTAGTAATAACACTGATAATATTAATAATAATATTTACGCATAATAACTACTTTTATATGTTTCATGCTGCATTAATTTCTTCGCACCATTTTCGTAGTGAAAAAATTTATTTGACGATTTCAATATCGAAAAATTCAGAAGTATCGACATTCACTCAAATTATACAGTTCTACTAATTTTGGGACGTCACCAGTGGCGCCCCCCCTACTACCGGCCGATCATCGATAAAACCTCTGTAGCTTTCAACGTGTTACCACATTGTTGACCGGCAGATTTTTACGCAGAAGCATTAATTGAGTATAAAAGTGAAACAATCTAAATAAACTTCTAAATATAGTTTATTTATTTACACAGAATGAATTTCAATGAAACTTTGTACATCTCTTATATATATTATATTATATTTCATACGTGTAATATACTTTAGTAATTTTTTTGTTTTTTGGTGTGATAAATTGTATAGCATTCACTTATGTGTAGTGATACACAACAGGTTTTGGAGGTCTGATATCATAACTATCAATTTCCATGTCACTACAGTATAGTTCAAAATCACTCACGGATCAGATAAATCTGCATATAATTCATTGAAAAGTTCTTCGCCATCGCGATCTGTCACGATTGGTATTTTTGTACAAACACCAAACTGCGATAAAAACCTAAATATCAATAAAAGTAATTTTTTTTTTTGAAAAATGAACACGGTGGAGAGAGATTTCACAATATCCTGTGTTACCCTGAAATAACTACTAAAAAATTAAACTAGCTAATGCAAGTGGAAACAATGTGTTCGTAACGTTTAACGTGTGTATTTGGTCCGGTTTCCAGCCAGCGAGTTCGAAGAAGGATGAAAGTTGAATGCATTTCAGAGAAACTCGCCCCCGATTCTAACACAAACACACGTATGTAACACGCGTTCGTTGAATCGGCTAGAGCACGTACGCGCTGAACGCGTGCCGCTGTTCGATGAGAAACATTAAATTCCACGAGCACGTGTCACGTGATAAGGACTATACTATTGTTCTTCTCTCTGCGTTGATTTTTCTAAGGCTCTTCTGACGTGTTTTGTCTTCTAGTGTCCTAACCGAGTCAAGGACACGAAGAACTGCGAGATTGAGAAACAGAAACGTAGGCGTTCTCATAAATATTCAATAGATCTCGCGCAATCGACGCTAGGATCGATCATTAGTGCTAGCCAACCTGTTTTCGACGATGTTTTTCGAGGTTATGACCGCGTTCAATTTCACGACTGCGAAAATTAAATATGGGAATCAAAATTAATAATGATAAATTAAATGCCAACAATAGCGGTGTTGTACTTTTACTATGAGTTAATAATTAATTAATTCTATTAATTTTATTTAAAAAAATTAATTATTTTTAAATTATAAATTTTAGGTGAAATTTAAATTTATAATTATAATTTAAAATATAAATATATATAAAAATTAAATTATAAACTAGGATTAGATACCCTATTATTTTTAAATATAAATAAATTTTTATTATTAAATGTTGAATCATTGAAATAAAATAATATGGCGGCTTTTTAATCTTTTTAAGAAAATTTGTTATTTAATTTGATAATTCATGATGGGATATACTTAAATTTTATTTATGTATTGTTATTTAGATGTATGAGAAAAATTATATATATATATAAATATTTAATAAAATAATATTTTAAATCACAATTTAGTGTATTTAAGAATAGATGAATTGTAAAAAATTACCGCGCGCTTCGTAGTCCTCTTTTCAAGAAGTTAGGAAAGATTTGATTCTGTCATCTGCCGTTAGAAGGCTCTCGTAATCTCTGCGTCATCCTTTCAATTGTGAGAGCTCGAGCCGATCCAATCCCTAACCTATTTCAAACCTAACCTGTCGAACGAATATAACGAGTTGACGAATATAAAGTTGTTTGAAAACGCCTCCGCGGCGGCCCACTTCCCTGTCTTCCTTCTCTTCAATTCTTCTACGAATTATCGAAACTCTCGTCTGCCTGACCTTTAAAGAAGAAAAGTTGTTGGCGGAGCGAAATGGCTGGAAACGGACCAACCTTATTTGTTAACCGACGCCACATGTTTGAAACCGTGTTATATTTATGTTAAATCGGTTTTGGATAGCTGACGCATACATCTTTTTCGAGGACATTTTCAGACTATTTATCACCGTCGTTGGAAACGCCTGTGATATAGGTTAGGTTTGCACGTGGGCCTCGGAAAGTGTGTGTACACTGCCATTCAAAAGTCTCGATATTCAATATT